CCTGTCTGCGACCACAAACCCACAACAACAACAGCAGCAAATGGCGGCGCTGGTGGCACAGTCCTTTCAGATGTTGGCTGCTTCCATGAATGGCGGTTTGCCACGTATGCCCACGCCCACTTCAGCCGAGTGTCCCTTTTCTCTTGCGCCGCCTGCCGCTTGTAGTGGGTTTGACGCGGTACCGGGCTCTGCAGCCTCCAATCAGGCCGTGGGCGTCAACTCGAGTGCTTTCCAATCACCGTTGAACTACCTGTCACAGCTTCCTTTCATTGGCGGAGACAAGTTTAAGGTATATTGCTGTATTTTTTTTCGTGACTTTCCGTCTCCTGCACTTTGGATTAAGTAGTTAAGAACTAAACCTAGACAAAATCCGAGGTCATTTTTATCTTCACAGGTAGGTTCCGAATATATATTCCACCTTTGTGGCGGTCTTTCCACGCTGACTGTTAAATCGACTTATGAATAGCCGGTCGCTCGACTTTACACCCTCTTCAGTAGTGGCTGAAACTGCTCTATTTATCGGCGGTGATCGCAAGCCAGTGACCCCATTGTTTTTGCTAGTGAAGGCTCGATCGCGGGTGCTCGTTCCGTTGTCCTTCCCCATTTCGAGCACAGTTGGTTGTCAGTTTGGAAGTCATAATATCTAGACAAGCTACCCGATCCGTTACGGCTTTGCAAAGATGACATACCGTGCCACTGCCAACAATTTTTGGACTGTCACCTTTAAGAACTGCGACTTTTGAAATTGTCATTAGACGTTTTGCTAACGGGCTACACTCTGGGTTCCTCGCTCTACAAACGGTTGTTGACTATGTCCTATATCGGCGCAATTGCCATCCCGCTATTTGAGCACTAATTGAGCGAATGTTTCTGGGGATTCTGAAACCAATTTTACCCATAACTAACTTTTAACTCTAAAGGAAACCAAGAGATCAGTTATGTGTTTCGCGTTACTATCCCACACAAGACTGTCCAAAACGTGACTGGTTAGTGGACCACCATTGCTGTGTTCTTTCTAATTTCCTACAATAGCCTAAGGTTTGTTGGAGAATGCAGGCCGCGACTCCCTAGAAGGTAGTTCTGCAACCCTTATTTCCTCCCTAGCTGAGTTTATCTTGGACTCCTGGACAGTAAGTGCGATTATTGTAGTATTTATTGCTCTCCGCCGTACACGAGTATCGTGAGATACCTTTTGTCTCGATGTCATCCGCGCCCTGGTTGTCTTGGGTGTGGCGCGAATAAAATTCCGGTTCTGCGTTATCGTGTGTGGCTTTCTTGAGGGTCATGGGCGACGCAATATCCTATTACCCTGAATTCTTTTGTGCTGCATTCAGTTAGCAAAACTGGTTTACGGGCCGCATCATGGTGCACATCAGCGACTTAGTTTGTCTTCCCAAAAACAGTAAATGTGATCGGATCCTCACTCGAAGCCACCATCAAAGAAAGCCTCGGATAAGGCTGACGGACGCACCAGGAATGCAATATTTATAAGACACCGTTGTCTCTCGAGCGGTGACAAGCGCGCGAACCCCCGGGGCTATTTGGGTCGTTATTCTCCGGCCTGTGGTTTATTGATAGGCTTTATCAATTCCCCCTGCCCTGTAGTTTATTAACGGGCTTAATCACTTCCCCCTCTGTATTCAGTGTGGAGGCTGTCCGAACAGGGTATTTGGGCGCACTGAGAGAGAGAGAGCAGACAAACACGACAGTATCAGCGATCAAAATTTTCGAGTCCTTGTCACACCAATATTCAACATCGTTACTGAAATTGCACCAATTAACGATTCAGATGCGGACTAGCAAGCGATCCTCGCACCATTTCGACGCCTTCGACGGTCAGTGAGGCAGCCAGTACTTTTGGCAAGTATGTCAGATGGCATCCTATAAATACTACACAATTTATGCCTCCGTAACCGTTATCGGTAGTTTTCTCTGATGGTACGGTCGACTAAGAATTCGGAACCACAGACAAAATGTTTCCACTGGTCGCATCTCCTCAACGGTTTCCCGAAACTCACCTATTTACTTGTATATACTTGCGCCTTTGCTGCAGCGTTCCGTCCGTACACGACGCCCCTGTGGAGACCGAAACGCGCTAAATAATCAGACTATACTTTAAAATCGAGAAAAAAAATACAAACAAGGTTTCCTGTTGCTGTTTGAAGGTCTCATTCTCTAAAGCTGCGACGACTATGAAGCCGTATTTTATTTATTTATTGAAAAAAAAACTCGTGTCATTTTAACGCGTCAATTTATCATTGTGCGCATTCTCTTTTCTCTATTGTTATTTATCGACACATGTTGCCACCCTCGATGCCTCTGATGTGCACCAGCTAACTTATGCTCTGATTATAGCTTAGTTACTTATTCCCCATCATCTACGAGCTTCATTTTATCTGTTTCCTTTCCTTTGCAAGGCTTCTACGAGCACCTCGTCCGCTGTCTCAAGCCACTCAGTCATGCAGATGCCTCCTCCTGGTCTCTCTCGCATGAGTTCCCAGCCACTCGGCGAACGCAATTTCCAGCGGTTCAATTATGATGGTACTTGCCCAGGGGGCGGCGACGGCGCTGATGTTTCATTTCACCCCTCATCCGCCCATTTTTCAGCACCAACCCAGTTCACTTTGCCTCCAAATGTCACGCCCCAGCCGCAGCAGTTTGTCGGCAACGACTGTTTACCCTTCCTGCAGAATCCTGCGGGCAGTGATGTTTCGGTTTGTGTTCCGGGCGCTGGTTTCCTGCCGCCTGCTTCCGGCACGCCGAATTTTTCCATGGATCAGGTGGCGGTTAACCAGCTCCATTTCCCACAACAGCCGTCACTTGGTGGTGCTAGTTCAGTGCCGATGGCGCCCATGAATACACTTTTCCAAGGCACTCCTGGTCCACCAAGGAAGCCCGCGGCCTACGGCACACCCTCTTCACCCTACCCTGGAAACTATTTTCCCCAACAGTATCCGCGTCCACCACCTGTGATGCCGGCCATTCCTCCTGGGTATATTCCGCCTCATCTACCTCAAATACTTGAA